TTTGAACTCCTGATTGTCCTGTTTCAGCCTCCCAAGCCACTGGGATTAATTACAAGCACGTGCCATTGTGCCTGGCCCAACATTTTTTAATCAGCTCAATTTTACTGCCTTTAAACATGTGCTACATTGTTCTACTTGAAATCAGTCTTAGTTCTTTGACAGTCAGTCACTATGAATGAAGCCTTAGTAGGGGTGGAGTAATAAAAATGATTACCTTAAATGGCTACATTATATTTTCAGGAAATTATTCCAGGCATCCACATAATTCAATATATTTATTGACTTTTCTTTCTTTGGTTGCCATTGGCAATGTTTATAACCTGTTATACAGACCTTATAATACTTGAATTCATCCTCTTTTATAAAAATAAGACAATAACTATTTGAGGGATTATATCACTATGTCTTCTTCTATGTTTGAAAACATTGGGCTCTAAAAATATCAAAAGCGTAAGTGAACATTTGAAATAGATAAGTAAATAAATGAATAATGTTTCCATAAATATAACTAAATTTAAATACTCAGAGATTAGAGTTAAGGGGGTCCTTGGAAGTCTCTTTTGAGAGAGAGACTCCAGCTCTGGACCTGAACTCTTTATCCCTTCCCTGAATTTCAGACTCTACAGAATTACAGAGACATAAGACCATGGAAAACATACTTGAACTCTCTAGGATAGGCATTTCCGCTGGCTAAATAGGGATAATTATTTGTGAGAATTTTAATACTTGCAAAACGCTTAGCATGATGCTTGGCACTCAATGAATGTTCAGCAACTGTTATTGTCATTATTGAGTCTTTCATGTCTGAAAGACACTGGGTTGTGGTTTTAGTTCACCTCAATGTTATATGAATTTGAATGGTATATTTTTAAACAGTTGAAGTAATTAATGCTATTTTAAATTTTCCAGCTCCAAGAAACATTTCTATACCTTAGAAATTGAGGATGAAGTGGATAATGTCAGCAAAGAGTCTTGGAGTTGCCTGGCATGCATATGCTCTGTAAGTGGAGACAATTTTTATTCTTGGAATCACCCTGTGATACTACCCATCCAGAGTTCATCACTATCGACATTTGTCAGTATTTTTCCAGTTTATTTTCTATATGAAATTAAGAGTGTGCTATATATTTATCCCACCATTCCATTATCAGCTACCCACTAAAAAATATAAAAAGATGATAAAAGATTTGAGAGAGAAAATAGAGATAATAGCTCTAACTGGCAAAATGATATGTTTCTTATAATTGTACATCCATGTCCATCTGTCTTACTCCATCTGTCGTAATCTCCTTTGCTTTAACTATTGTTGATGCTGGAGGCCAAATCTCACACTTGCCACTTCTTCCTCTTTCACTGCCACTAGGCTCCATTCCAAGCTACTACCATGTCTCACCTGGTCCACAGAAGTAGCCTACATTCTAATGTCTTGGTCTATTTATGCTGCTCTTCAATTAATTCTTCAAAGACACCCACAAAACATGCAATTTCACTCTCCTTAATTTCCTTTATTTCACTATTGATTTACTAAGTGGGAGGGAGAGAGAATAGAGAGGAGAGAGGAGAGAGAGAAAGAGAGAGAAAAGAGGAGGAGGAGGAGGAAGAGGAGAAGGAAGAGGAAGAGGAGGAGGAAAGAGTTCTGCTTCTAAAAACACTTGGGTTCTTGCAATCAAATGCTTTCAACTTCAAGTTTTTTGTTATGTTGAAAAATCACATTTATTTTAGGGGGATCAGATAAATAATGTTTATTATAATCATCATAATCTTTTTCGTTCATACAGACACTGCACATCATCACTTGGCAAAACCTTCCTGAAGGTTTGGATGGAGACACATCTTCAATATGTCAGCAAGGTCCTTTTCTTTTCAGTAGTGCTCCATAGGCCTGCACTTTCAGGTTAAACCCCAAAC